GCTCCGCCCCGGGGCGGGGCCGGCCGCGGCAGGAGCAGTGGCGCTGCCCCCGGTGCCCCCTTCCCGCTGCCGCGGGGACGGGGTCTCGCCGCAGCGGGGGAACCGCGGCTGGGCCTGGTGGCTGGGATTTGCCGCCGCTGGCAGCCTGCTGAGCCGCAGCTCTGGGGGAAGCCTGACCCCTTTTCCTGAGCCCTCTCGAAAGTCGGGGCGGGTGGTGCCCCTCTGACCGCAGAGGGAAGCCGAGGGAAGGGGACCCGCTGCCGGCCGGGGAAGGAGGTGGCCGGCTGGAGGCGCAGACGCCGTTCCGCCATCTTACCTCCGCGCTGGCTGCTGTGCAAGAGTCGAGCGGCAGCGGAGCGTGGCGCGCCGCGACTGCGCCAGGCCCGTCTTCCCACCGCGGGGGAGGTGGGTCTCCCGCGTGGGGCCCTCTCCGTCCGCCCTCGGCGCCGGGAGCCGGGCTGGGGATGCGGGTCGGGCCTTGCAATTAGAATGTATCAAGGAACGGGGCCAGAAGGGAAGTAATAGTTCAAACAGGGAATTTCCTGATGCCTGTCGGTGTGAGATCCAGTCCTTCATGTCACAGTCATGTCCCCGCTTGAACTTAATGGTGTCTGTGTCTTTTTTTCCTCTTAAAACCACACCTAACCGTTGCCGCTCAAAACTCTGTATTTGGAATAACCTACAGGAAGAGAAAGAATCAAGTGGGGCTAGCTGGGAGTTTAACAAAGCACAGAGCCCCTGCTGATTGAAAATCAGGAACCTTTATTCATTACAACTCATTTCACTAGGAAAACAAATCTATGTTTGGTTGTGCCGAGTCACCGGTTTAGTCCCACAGTCTCTTTGATTGTTTGGCTTTCTGTCTTGCTGTCAGTCATCTTGGTTTGAAATTTGTCTCTTTGTCTACAGCATTGCAAAGAGAAAGAGACATTCAGCTTTCACAGGGAAATGAACTGAGGGAGCAGATTATCATATCTGACCTGAGGCCTCTTTTTTTACAGCTTCTGGTCTTGCTGCCAATTAATGCAGAGCTGAGATCAGGATTTCCCTGTTCTTCCTTTCTGTATCTGCTACTTAGAAACTGATCTTTCCTAAAGCGGTGAGATTCCTGAGTTTGGAGGGATTCGTGGTTGTTTTGTTCTGTATTGGTAGGTTGTGGGGCAAGATTAGTTGTTGGTTGCTTTTTAAAGACAGAACTTAACAGGAAATCCTTTAAAAAATAAATTATACAAAGCCAAATTCTGCTCTTGTTTACACCTTGGCAACTCCACTCACTTCAACACAAGGTCAAAAAACAAGGCAGAGTTTGGTCATAGCTCTTTAAAATTTCTTCTTTGCATGTGTTTATAAATAGGCTTGAAACATGTCTCTGCTTAGCTGTAAATTACTGATTCCTGAGCCTGGGGAGAAACACACAGGGAAGAAGGTAATTCCTACTGGAAAAACTCGGATCCACCCCCTAGTCCCAGGACTTCTCCTTCAGGGAAGACAAAAAGTGTAAAAAGAAAATGGGAAATTTATTCCGTGTTGTTCCTCCTTAGATAGCTGCTGATGTGCATGTGTGGGGAGAAGGGTCCATGGCACTCCACAGGTACAAAGACAACTTCTCAGTTGTGAGAGGCGGGTAGTTTCATTAAACAGAATATAGATAGAGGTGGCCAGAGAGGAGAGGCAGCGCACAAGGAAGAAGGGCTGGTCAGTACGTTGGCAGGTTTCCACTCAGTTCCATATTTCATTCTTCCCCATATTAAAGTGTGAATGTGGCTATTTTATGTTCAGTTTGTAGAGGGAACTGAAGTCAAGCCTTTCAAGTAAAGTGGAAAGGTGGAGCATATTGAATTAAGGCAGTTTGTTGGCCAAGGGTATATTTAGAAATAGCACAGGGTTCCAGAAAGTGCTACAGGGAACTTTCATGAAAAATAGGCTTAGCTGGCAGCTGGCCATCCATTTTCTTTTCTCTCCAAAGGTTTTCATGAACAGGAGCTCTGAAGCTGGGAGTAATCCGACATCATTCTGATTTCTGGTGAGTTCAGATGATGATGTTCACTGGCAATAGATGAATTCCTTTATGGAGTTGTCTATGACTTTTCTTTGAACTAACATATATGTATTGAGAAACTTACCTGACCATTTTTGTCCCAGTAATTCTTCATATGCTTAGGTAGAAGGATTTGGGAAAAAAAGCTTTACCCATGCTATTTCTGGTTCTCGATTCTACCCAGTAAATAGAGGAACCAGTGCATAAAAGTTCAATTAAATTACTTTAAAGTTGCTGACATTCTTAAAATCCAGAAATACCAGATTTGGTAACAGGCTGGGTTTAATTCATGTCTCATGTTGGCTTGCCTTATCCTTACAATGAGGTACTCGGCCCATGAGCTTGCAGGCTTCTTCGCTTTGGCCTTTGCCTGCAGCCTGCCTATAATCCAGGATTTTTTGGTATGCTCATTTGTAACTGTGTTTCCTTATCCCAATCATCCTTCAGTCCAGCTCTCCCCTGACCTTCAGGGAAACACCATAGCAGCCAACTTTTCTGTTTAATGTTTCACCACAAATTTGTTGCTGTGTTGACTTAAAAGTTTTTCAGTAGGCTACTCCATGACTTTTCCAAGCAATACAGACTTTCCTCCTTGGAAACCAATAAATGGCTTGTTTTGCTTTTACTGTGTCAGGCTGGATCTAGCAAGGCGAAGGCCAACAGTCTTTGGGTTTTTTAAAAAATGTTCTGTCAGTAGCTCTGTAATCACCATTTCTATTCAGTTCTGCTTCATCCCAGATCAGCAAGCTTTAAAATACCCAGGTTTTTGTTGACAGAGCATTAAAATGCCATCCTCTGCACTTTCAGATGGATTTAAAGGCACACTTGACACTGAAATTAAAGGGAGCTGGAAAGACCTAAGCCCCTTATATTTCCATGATTTTCTCTGTTGACAAGCATACTCTTTTTAATTTTATTTTATTTGTAATCTTCTTTCCAAACCAGTTACACAACACATAGTTCTGGCCTCAAGCAGCTTTTCTAGCTTCCAAACATCAGTTGACTGTGTTTGTGCATCGGCCTCTGCTGCAATGCCCACTTAGTTGGTGTTGTCTGCTGGGACAGCCTAAGCAAATTCTACCAGAGCACCCCAGAGAGGCAGAAAGTGCCCCACACCCATTGTTCCACATGCAGTGGCTGCACTGAGTTTTCAGCTTCCCATGGGATAGATAGTTCAGGCTGGAAGGGACCAGCTGGTCCAGCCTTCAGCTCAATGCAGGGCCAACATCAAAGTCAGACCAGGGTGCTCAATGCTTTTCCCAGTCAGGCTTCATCCTCCAAGGATGGAGATCCTACCACGTCTCTGGGCACCTGTTTTAGTGCTGAACCACTCTCCAGTTGAAAAATTTTTTTCCTAGTCAGAATTTTTTAGTCAAAATTTTCCTTGCTGTTCTTTGTGATCATTGCTTCTGATCCTTTGCTGTGCACCTCTGTCAAGAGTCTGGCTCCATCTTCCCTGTAACTCCCCATTAAGTACCTGAAGACAGCAGTTAGACTTCCCCACCCCATTAGCCACCTCCTCTCTAGGTTGGACAAATCTTCAATGTCTCTTTGTACATCAAGCTGCTGAGAGAAAAACTTGAATTGTTGACAGAGACACGAGTCTTGCTGGTTCTACTGAAATAGGTGCATGCCAAGCTAGTTGCAAGTAAAGAACTGTGTGCCAGGCTACATCTTGGCAAGTCAATACACATTTATTTGCCATGGTTACTACTCAACTGTATAAGCACATTTGGTGTTGGCAAAAACCCTTTCCCGAGCCATGTTAAAAGGCGTAGCACACACGGAGCCTAAGAAATGGTAGCATCATTCTGTTGGGGAAAAAAAATTATTCCAATACTTAGACAAGTCCCCTGATTTTGGTATGTTTATCCAACCCTGGCCCTTGGGAAATCTGGCATCACATACCATTTTATCACAACTGCCTCAGGCTTATAGGAAGGCTTTAGTCTAGCTCTCATAGCTGTTCCTGTCTTTACTAAACAAAACTACGCCTAGGCTAGGATTACTTTCAGTTGTCAGCCTGAAAAGCCATTTTCTATACAAAACAGCAAACTGCCACTTTTTTTCAGCATTGTGTGACATGGCCGCTCTTTAAATGTAAAACTGCACAGTCAGTGAGTTACTGAGTGGCAGGAGAGACTGGGCTTTCCTCCCTCAGTAAGTAGATTTCATGCCCACACAGACCTAGAGAGCAGAGATCCCCCCAACTGTCTCCACTCCTACAGGAGGAGGAATCTGTACTTCATTGTGTTTCAGCACTCAGGGATCGTTGGTATCTATCGCACTTAGAGGAAAGAATCAGTATAACATGATAATTTGTGGGTTTACATTCACAAAGAGGGGCTTTTTTTCTGCGTGCTATAAGCAATTGTAAACTCTTTCATGGAGACTCTGGAAAATTTACTTGGAGTTTGCACTGAGTGGTTTAAAACAGAAGCCCAGCAATATTGTGCATTATACAACCCTCTCCCACATGCCTTACAAAGCCCTTAAAATTGTTAGAGCTCCACCAACCTGTACCCCCCTCCAGGAACTGTCTTATTTAAGCATAAATGCTGCCCCAGAATGGATGCTGGGGATGGAGAAGAGGGGTCCATGTAACCACACTGTCACTGCTGCTTCATATGGCCAGGCCAAGGCTAAAGTGGGAGAGAGAGGTGGGGGATCAATGGAGTCTTTTTTACTCATGGCAAATCCACATCTGCGTTGATGTTGTCAGTGCAATGCAGTGTTCACATTTTCAAACTAATGCCTGCCTGGTCGAGGAGTTATGTATTAACCAAGTTAGCCATTCTGCCAGGAAAGAACAAGGATACCATGCATTTCAGCAGTGCTTTTCATCAGATCATTCCTACTTACTTTACAAACAGAATTAAAGAAGCCTCACAACATCCCTGTGAGGTAGGTGGAAATTCTTACACCCATTTTACAGGTGGAGAAAACAGGCACTGAGAGGTAAAGTGATTATCACAGCAAGTCAGAAGCAGAGCTGGAAGTAAATCTAAGATTATTATCCTAGGTCCACTGCTCTAGACACTAGAGAACACCAACTCCCACATGCTAATGTAAGCTAAGACACTACCTTTCTCTTCTACTTTTACCTCCTTTGGTGATTTTGACACTTGCATCTTAATGCTCCTTGCAGAGAGCCAGTTATTTATTTGCACAGAGAGCCAAGGGCGTACACACACCTTTAAATGATCCAGGCATGGCTCTAATTGTTCAGTGACTTCCCCCTTCCCAAGAAAATAATTTTCCCTGTTCTTTATATCTATGTTTTGTGTACTTATTTTTTGAGTAGAATCATACACTGAATCCACAGCTCTGAGGCTGTTATGCAACTTCACTAGCAATTTCTTGAATAAATGATTAAATTTGTCTCATTGAGAAGGAATAAAACACATTTATATGATATCACATCCAGAAATAGCAATAATCCTTTGCTCATCTGTAGGGCCTTCCATCCCAGGGCCTCCCATTCTATTACTAACACAATATATCGAGCCTCACATCAGCTTTGTGAGGTAGAAAATTATTCCCAATTGTACAAGAAGGAAGAATGACTTGCTGACAGTCCCACAGTGATTTCATTGCAGAGATGAGGCTGAATGCCAGAAGGCCAGACTGTTAGTTCCCTGCTCAGTTTGCCGAGAAGGGCTGTCTTGATGCCATGGCTCATACTTGGTGCAGATTTGCTAGCAGTCTGGCAGGGTACTTGAAAACCAGCTTGAAAAAAAAATCAACAAGCAGGTGACTGGATACAGGAGGAAAATGCTGGTTTGTTTCATTGTGCTGTCATGACGCGGAGGAAGAAACCACCTTTTCTGTGGCAGCTGTGAAAGAACTACAGGGTGTCCATTGAGTTCACTGCATATAGTGCATTTTACTGAAGTACTCCAGTGAAGAAGAATGACATACTCAACATCTGATGATTAAAGACTGGACCGCCCAACAGTCATAGTGTGGACCATATACCTGTGATGAATAAGGACTCATCTGAATTAGTCCAGAGATCTAATGAAGGTATGCATGTCAGAGGTCAGGAACAGGGATGGTTATTAAAATACTTTGTATGTAAAAGGACTTGTCAAGTAATTAGAAGTAAACAAGTGTGGGGGTGATTCATCTAGTCTGTTGGTATCTGGAAGGATCAGATGCTCTGAAGATAGAAGATATCTCATACTGAGCCGTTACAGATATATTTTTTTTTTTACCTCCAGGCAAGTGTGTTTCCTACCCCTTTTGATGAGTGGGCTGGTTTATGCTTAGAACCATTAAAACTCTCTTCTATCTTGCTATGAAGAAAATAAAAAGTAATAGATCCCATCTCATATAAGTGTAGTGATTTTGCTGTTCATCTGAATTTTTGCCCCTGCTTGAATTCTAGTAGAATACTGGGCACAGTGGACCCTTTTCCTGCTGAAAAACATTCTCTTTCCTCAGTTGCCTTTCATTTGTGTTAACTGTTCTCCTGTTTCCGTGTCAAGAGAGTGGATAAATGGTAGCCTCCAGATTCTCTCTCTGCACGTTCCTTCGCATGTGTTGCTTTGTCATATTCCTTCCCAAAACTGAGGAGGTACCTTCCAGTCTTCCTTCACAAGGGAGGACAACCTAACAGCCTTTGTCCAGGGGGCAAAGATTTTGACCTCAGGTGGCAAACCTTGGGAAAATATGCAGGCCCAAGAGGAGCAAAAGGATTAATAGTAAAAAGAAAAATAAAAAAAAAATACGTGGCACCGCTGTGATGCTGAAGAATCCCAATGCACCCTACAAACTTTCTACATATGTACAGCTTACTTCACTTAGCAGTGAAGTCTAGCCACCTTTGCACTCCTACAGGGCAGCTGCATAACAAGGCAGGGGAACTCCACCAAACAGGTTAGATCAGCGAGTGACAGAACTGACTACTGGTGGCTGCATGGGCTGGGATGCAGCAGGACTGGAGGTATGAGCCCACGCCTACCCAGAGCTCTTTCAGACACCCATTTGACTTCAATGGGCTTGGAGTCAGCCCTACTACAATGGGAGACCACAGAGGGTCTTTTCTAGCTAATGGCGGGATGAGTTTTATGCATTATGCCAAAGACCTTTTTTTTCCTGACCTGGATTAGAGCCTGCCCTGGGAACAATGGGATGGGCTGCAGCCCAGCAGAAAGAATTTGCTGAGCTGGCAGGGTCTGAGGTTTGCAGAGCAGAGCAGATGAGAGTGCATACCTGCACTTTTCTGGCATGAGGCTCAGTTTTGGGGGGACACAGCTGTTAACCTGAAGTTTTTTGAATGCATTGCTGCACTGTCTCAGCCGAAAGATGCTGCTGTAGTCCTAAAATTAGAAATCCACAGGGATTTAAACATTTGCAAGCACATGCTTTTCTGCCTTTTGTAACAAAAAAAGATTTTGCTGAGGCTCTGGGAGTTCTCTACAGACCTGTTGGCACAAAAGGTCTAAATCATATTTTGGAAGGCCTTGTTTTACTCGAGACTTTGGCATTTAATAGAGATGTAAACCACTGGATGGCTCCCATCTGTCAAATTAAAAACAAAGGATGTCAAAAGACTATTATGATATCAGACTTTTCAAACTTGAACAGCCAGTTTTGTATTTAGAGGTTTAAATAGGCACGTAGTTACCTAGACCCCAGGTTTAGGTACACAGGTGCCTTCAGGACTCTGGACCTGAGATTTGCTGAGTGCCTGTAAGTTTGGGAGCTCCAGGAACTGAGCACATGTCAGGATCATGCCATGAAGGCTTGTGTTTGGTTTCATGCTCTGGCTGCTGTAGCTGTTTCCTCCTTTCACAGAAGTCTTCCCACGCTTGCTTTGCTAAATTGAGTTGCAGATCTTTAAATCACAAGACTACAAGTAAAAAATATCACTTGAATTTATTCTTTCCAGTGCTCTGAAATAGGCTCGGGGCTGGATGACCCTCTTGGGAACAAATAATCCATCTGTGGGCATCTGCTAAATCCTAGTAGAGAGCTACTGTTAACCTTGCCCATTGTCAATGTCACTTGAAGAGCAGAAATATTTTTGACATAAAGGAAAATATTTTTACCTAACTCAGATTTGCATTCACAGAGAAACTGGGGACATTTTGACCCTTATTTTCTGAATAGAGAGGGGAAATAGTACTTACTATTTTAGTCTGTTGATGCTAAGCACAGAATTCACTTTGTGAATTAAATAACTGCAATTCCATGCCAACAGCGAAGGGGAGATCTGCTCAGCATGCCATAGGTGGAAACAGAAAAAGAAATACTAGATACAGTTGTTGATCAGTCATCCCCCTTGCTGGCTGCAGAGACAGATCATCCCCATGTTCCTAGAGAAATGTGGAACACAAAGCTTCCAGTAAATACGTTCACAGTGGTGACATTTGGGTTTCACTGCCACGTTAGGTTTCAAAAGACATCAGTTATGTGTACAATGTAGCTATTACTGTAAGGAGTTAGCTGGCATGTGGAAACAGGGAAAATGTTCCTTTTTAAATGGACATACAGGGCAAATAAGGCACAGTTACCATGATAGTACCTTTCCAGTTGAGAATCTCAAGAGGAAATAATATTCAAATGGCCATTTTAGCACTTTGCTTAAAAATATCTTTTGATTTCTTTCTCTATCTCTCCTTTTCTCTTCAACCTTTTCCTTTTCATGTGCTCCCTATATCCTGCACCTTCATACAGTCAAATCATCTGACCTGGCCCGGCTACTGGCTTTACTTAGCCTGCTGAGGGGTCTCATATCAGTGGTGAGTTCAGCAGGTGCTGAAGGCCCTTCCACTTCATCGCTCACCACCTCCTCCACTGCTTTCTTCACCCCTGGCTCTCCCTGACGTCCCAGCTGCTCCTCTTCTTGTTCCTCCTCTGCTCTTACCTTCTCCTCTTCCGGTTCCTTCGCTTGTGCATACGATGGTAACCTCTCATCAAATGCCCTAGAGAGATCTTCCAATGGTCCCATCCCAATCTTCTCCTCAAACTCATTGAAGGCTGATGGAAGGGGACTGGGCTCAACCCCTACTTCTGCGAGAGGGAAATAGTGGGGCACTGGCTTCTCTTCTTCCAGCAACTTGTAGCCTTTGGTCTTTGGGATGGAGGGGACTGTGATGGCATGGAGGGGCTTCTCTGGGACCTCCCCCAGCTGTTCCTCCACTGGTCTTCTCAGAGCCCTCCGGATCCTTTTGAGGATCAAGTGACTGATCTCCACCAGGTTGAGGAAGAGGGACACGGAAGCCACCACCAGCATGAACATAATAAAGATGGTCTTCTCCGTGGGCCTGGAGACAAAACAGTCCACAAGATTGGGACAGGGCCACCGCCCACAGCGGTAAAGGGGGAGAATTCGGAAGCCGTAAAGGAAGTACTGACCTACTATGAATCCCACCTCAAAGAGGGTTTTGAAAATGATGTGGAAGATATAGGTTCTCAGGAGGGTGCCCTCCAGGCGAAACTTCTTGGTCCCATCAGGGTTGTTGCCTTTGTTCTGATTTGGAGCCAGGGGCAGCTTCTCTTCATCCACCTCAGCTTGCTGACGCCTCTCAGCTTCCTCCCTCTCTCTCCTCTTCTCCTCCATGCGGACATGGTGCACGGCATGCCCAAAGTACATGAGTGAAGGTGTGGATACAAAAATGATCTGCAGGACCCAGAGCCGGATGTGGGAGATGGGGAAGGCCTCATCATAGCAGACATTCTCGCAACCAGGTTGCTGGGTGTTGCACACAAAGTCTGACTGTTCATCTCCCCACACTAGCTCGGCAGCTGTTCCCAGGATCAGGATGCGGAAAATGAAGAGCACTGTGAGCCAGACTCTCCCGATGACAGTGGATTGCTCGTTCACCTGCTCTAAAATGTTCCCCAAGAAACTCCAGTCACCCATTTCTTACTGTCTAAGGAAAGAAAAAAGAAAGAGAATGACCACAAATTATGCTAAATTTAAAAGATTTCAGGTTTTCCCACTGATGTCTTTTGTTGCTTTCAACCAGTAAGTATTTCCCTAATATGCTTTGAGAACAGAAAAAAGGTTGCTTGCTTGCTTATTTGCCTGATCACAATGATTTATTAGCAAGAGAAGGGCTGGGAAGCCAGAGCAAACTGCTTGCTAAATTCTTTCTTCCCTGGCTCTAAATGGGCAATTACTTTGCGGGGGGGGGGGCTATATTTAACTCCTTGTCCAGGTAAGAGTCTTCTGTGGTGCCTTGTAGGCTCAGTTGCATGAGCCTGCTTAAATTTTGTACACGTACAAACACTCGCCAGCAGTACAGTAGAACAGATTTATCAGCATGCGGCTGCAGTGGTTAGAAAAGAGAGTGAAGCTTTCAAGCACCCAAGCTCTTCTGCACACATGGGTCAAACAGATCTTGAATTGGTGCCCATCTTGCACCTATACAAACCTGGATTCTCTCTAAGGTTGCATATATTAATTCTACATTAGAAATCACTCTGTTAGGTAAGAATAGCAATTACAACACCATTATTATTTTAGTAATACTGTATAAGCTTAATAACTACCATATATACTAGTTTTGCTATATAGTATGCATGATATACAGTATAATGATTTGGTGTTCTTTGGGCTATTCTTTGTATCCTCTTCTGAAGTCAGTTGCCACACTGACTTTGGAACCAACCTGGAGAAAAACACAAAGGTCTATAACTGAGACCTAAAATACTGTTTTGTCTCTCTAAAATGTCAGTGCTATCTCAGGCTAACACAGAACTGGAAGCCAGCTGCAGGAAAGCTAAGAAAGTAGTTCATTTTCAAGTAATGTAAGTCAAACTTTACATCTGTCATTATTTTTGCATGATAAGAAATTATTCCTAGGCCAGGACTTCATCCTGCATATCCTCAACTTCCTACTATATAATTTTAGGCAAGAGAAAAATCTATGAATGAGGGAAATAAAGAGCAAACTTGTTTGGGATGGGCTGATTTAACATGGCACAGCAGTCTGAAGTCTTTGAGGAATGCAGAATATTACAGTGATCCAGAAAGACCAACTTGTGGACCATGACAAGTGAAGCAGGGAATAGCTGGTCACAGGGATCTAGAAGATCATCTCTTAGATACTACCTCCATCTATAGTTTCCTAGATGCAGACATACATAGACAAGTGCTGGGAAAAAGAATGTACAATCAACTGCATGGAAAACTGAGTATCTAAACTTCCCTCCTCCTTCAGATACCACTGGGATATATTTGTAATGCCATATATTACAACACACCATTGCATACCAGGCAGTTTCAACTACTGTGTGTACGTATTCACACATAGAAAACCACACAAAATATTGAGATTTCTATGGCTCTGGGGAATTTCACAAATTTTCAACAACAAAAAAAAATCCTTCTGATGTTATTTTTCTAAACCAAGATGGACTAATTTTCCTTGCCTTCAAACCTTGTAAAATTTTAACCTCAGACACCCATGTTAGAAAACAAAGAACAGAACACAGTCCTTTAGCTTGCACAAACACCTTGCATGCATAAGCAGCAAACATAATTTAATTGATACTTTCTCAGTCATTAAAGTTGTGCAAAAGAGTGTGTTAATGTCAGCACTTACATTAACAAATCTAGCAGAAGATTATGCTGTTTACATACATTATCTAAACTGATTTAAACATTCTCTTTCTGCAAATTCACAGAGCAAAGTACACCCAACAGTTACCAGTCATGTGCAACTCTGTAAAAAACACGACTACACACAATATAAACTTCATTGTCCCCCAGGCACCGCGGTTAACTCCATCCCTTTCTTTCTTTGTGAGTTACGCTGATATCCACAGCTACCATTTGAACATTTCCACTGCAGCACGCAAGAGCGGCATTCAAGATGTGATAAACCTTATGGAAAACTCACTGTACAAGAGAAGGAAAAATGTTTCCTGTCTAACTCCATCAAATGTCTCGCTTCAGCTTGCTACATTTGGCTAAACTCTTCCCGAGATCACTTCTGAACTAGTCACATTTTTCAAAACTCTGCCGTGACCATCCTATTTTCTCCATGTGAAGTGGTTCGAGATTGCTCAATCAGTTCAACTGCAAGGAACAGTTTTGGGTGGACTGAAGATAAGTGGTACAACCAGTTCAAATGTTTAGGATTCCACCTGTAAGCAGTCACCCCTCAAGTCTCAAGAAAGGTGCAAGCGATGAATTTAGGCAGTCACCTTTTCCCTTAAATTGCCTGTCATAAAGAAAGAGCAGGAGACTGCCTAAGCCCACCCAGAGTCAACAGACTCGTGTTCTTAACTCACTTGTTGCAAACCCCCACCCCGCACTTCCAGACGTTGCAACCTGAGCACACTACCAGCAAAAAAGACTGTATAGGTTAAGGACGTTGAGCAAGCAACTTGCCGCTGTGAAAGGCTCCACCGAAGAAATGTGTCCCCCTCCTCTCTTGGCACTCTGCAGGGAAGAGTGAACTTTTGTCTCTCTTCTTCCCTACCCTAAAAGTCCCAATCTTGTCGCACGACTGAGCAGATATGACTGAATTGGCTCTGATGGTGGGTTTTAGTTGCCCTGCAATATTTAAGCTCTGAGCCAGACGGCTTTATGAAGTGAGTGACAGTTAGTGACATGGGGAACAATAGGGAGAAAAAAATAGAGAAAGAGAGGCAGAGACACAGAGAGGAGAATCCACTGAACATGAAAAGCAGTGGGGGGAGAGGAACAGGCGACAGGCAGTGAAAAACCTAATACATGCATAAATGGGAGTTTGCACAGTTAAGCAGGGACTAAAGCATCTCTGCAATTCTGCTATGGTTCAGCACAGCTCTGTGTGTGTCCCCACTTGCTAGTCTTTAGGTGTTGTCGTGTGACAGGTGACAAGGGAGTGCCAACATCTCTGATAGCGGCAGAATTAATTGAATTAATTTGTTACCCTACACCCAGCTCTGACAGCCAAGTCGCATTGCTGATTTCCAGCACAGGCATCACTGAGGCACAGGGTCTGTATTTGGCATTGTCAGATACTTTGGACTGCTCTTTAACATCTTTTACCTGGAAAAAGAGCAGTATGGGAAAATGAGATCATCAGTCAATATTAATCAAGGCTGAGAAATACCAATTTTACAGCCTCACCTTTCAGTTTCTTAGTTCTGCTTAGTTTTTCTTCCAAATGCATCTTGCACATGCACATGCATCAAAAATGTCTAAACCAAACTGTTTTGTTAAGGAGCGTAGCTGAATTCCAGCAGCCCACAAACAGGAATGTTACCCCAGGCGCACTCACCTACCCCCAGCCATCTGCAAAAATGCTGGAGAGCCCATAGAAGAGAAAAATCACAGGCTCAATAATGCATCCACAAGTACAACAAACTGCCCTGTGAGTTTTGATTATAAGCCAAAGGATATAACTTTATTCTGAGTTGTTGTTTTTGTAGTCTTTCCGTATGAATTGCTCAGAATGTGCTCTTGGTGCTCAGCTCTGAAGAAAAAGAGGATTACTGGAAGCAAGATCTGCTAAGCAATGATACAGACACCAGGCTCATAAAGTGATGAAGCAGCAAGTAGCTCTCCTCTCTCTTTATGCATACTCAACACTGAATTTAATTCCCCCGAATGGCATCGGGAGACGCTCTGTCTCTAGAAATGCTGTTGTTTGAATGAGATGATATAATAAGAGGGCCACAAAATTTTGTATCTTCAAAAGATGCCTCTCTTTGGTGTTTCTGGGCATTTGTGCCCATGTAAGTTCAGAGCCTCATTTCAGCAGTTGTCTTCCCAAACAGCTTTTAAGCTGAGTTGCATAGCCCCAAAGGACAAAGCACAACTGGAGAGAGAGATGATGTTTTTCAAACTGGATTTCAGAAGAGCTAAAGGATAAGTGAGAGTTGGAAAAGAATCATATTTTTCAAGAGTGATCAGTTTGGAGACACAAAGGAAAAGCATTCTCTATGCATGCAGTTGGAATGAAGGTCATATTCCAAACACCTTAATAAATCACTCTCTTAATAGAGAAGTAGTAGAGGTCTATACATGACATTTTTCAGCCTGTGCTACATAGTCTTCCTGGAGAGAGGACACACAGAGGAGAGGACACAAGTTCCAAGAATGTGAAGTGAGTAAGACAAGGCACAATTTGATCAACATGAGGAATAAGGACAGTAGGGAAGAGTAAGGAATACTTTTGTTGCTTTGTTTTGCTATATGCTACTGAGATAAACTAGGATTAATACATGAGTGTCTGGTCATCACTGCCATCCTCATCCTTTCTCTGGGAAACAGTAAGAGAGGGAGAACTAAATGATATGACCAGCAGCTAACACCTTTAAAGAGTGCCTGCAAGCTGGTGCATCACAGAAGCCAGATAGTTCAGATGTTAAACTGCCCATCCCTTTTCAGACTGAAACTGTCTTTTTGGAAAACTCAGCTCTGGATGAATGTGCATATCCTTTTCTGGGCCTTATCTCTCTAATATAATGAGCCAAAACCCAAATCTGGTATGTAACTACATGGCTGTAGTCCATCTCTAAATTACATCCAGCTACTGTCAGAGACATTTCCCATTAACCTTCTATCTGCCATTTGCAAACACTATCCAAATATCAAACACTGTCTGGCAAGTTGCAGAACAGCTTGCAAGATGCAGCTGATGCAGAAATTATATTCAAGTCACTGATCATTTGGTATATGTTACCTTCATCTGAATGATCAGGGTGACTTTCTTTGCTATCACTAGGGTGCCGAGCCTTTAACATGGGGCACACTGACTTTGCTGGACATTTTGGGTTTGGGGAAAACCACACAGTCCCTTCAACTGGTTGCCTTTTTAAAAGGCACCACTGAGCTCTGGGACAGATTCTCCAGCTCACTAGGGCCTTGTCTTCCTGAAGAAAATGGCTGCAGAAAATGGCCTAAATGAAGTTGAAGATGGCCAGTGAGGAATTCCTCTTGTACTGGGCTACCCAGGGAAGTGATTGTTTGAGATGGGGTTGAAGAGGAGAGGGCAGAGCACGAGAAGAGCAAGAAGGGGACTTGATTCTCTCAGGCATCAGAGTAATGCTGGAAGTCAGGGCTGCCTTTGTAATATGAAAGCAATGGCTGTAAAAGAAAGGAGTAGAGACCATAAAACCAAAGCTCTAGAAGACTGGACCTCACACGCAGCATGCTTTGTTTGCCGAGTCTGCAAAAGAACTGCAACACTGACAGTACCAGACTGGTAATGGTGAACACTTCCAACCTGTGTACCTGGCCCAGCATTTATGCTCTCATTAGGCAACCTGTAGAAGTGCTGAGTACTTCCATCTCCAAAAACCAGTGCTGGAAATAGTAGCAGCTAATGACAGTAACACTGTTACTCAGAATGACTTTTTCTTGCCTTCAGGACTTTTCTTGCCTTCAAAGAAACATAGACATCTCCTGCACTTCTAAAATGTTATTTTCTTTGGAAAGAAGTTTGCTTCATTGCTGACTTCTCATCCTCTAGCTGCTTTGAGGCTGGTGACTGAGCTCCTGTCTCTGGCACCACTGAAACTGTGAAGTCTCCACTGCAACTCAGCCTTTTGCTCAAAGACTACAAGGTCACTTGGGGAATGTGGGATTTTTCATTCCAGATGGATTTCCAACACAGACATGATGTCAGGACAAGGCAGGGCCATGCTATTGAACAGCTCTGTTCATGCATGATAGCAGATTGTGCAATTATATAGTGCACAACCCTGGATAACGATACCTCTCCCTCAAACAAAGTTATCTTCTCCTGATCTGCTTAGCTAGAAAGTGGCACATGCTTCCTGTTCTTCTGCTGAACACACAAACCTTTTGCTCATGGCTGAAGCTGAACACTAAATATATTCAACCTGCCTACAAGAAGGTGAGAGCTTTACCCAACACTCTTGTTTGCTAGACGCTACCCAACTTAGCAGACACCTGCTTTCTAATAACACGTGTCTGTCCATCCTAGAGCCAAAGCGATCTATTGGTCTGACCACTAGGACCAGTGTCCCAGATTTCATCTTCTCTCTGCCACCTACTGGTCTCAGAAATCATTTAAATGTAGCTAGCCCTGGGCAAAATCTTTAGGCAGAACTTGCTATGTCCCTACAAGACTGGTAAATGCCACTGTCCACATTTTAAGGGCACAGCTCTGAGATTTTTCCAGGACTCTCTTCAGAGCCCTCCAGGCACTGGGGGATATAAATTGTTGGGGAATATATTTTGCTGGGAAACTGCAAACAAACCATAAAGAAAAGAGAGGAAGGAACATATAAAGCATCAAGAAGGAGGGAAATTGGATAAGTATGTAAGTAACAGGAAGGTTTGGGCAAGAACACAGGAGAAAAGGTGAAGGCAGGGTTAGATTGTGCTGAGCCCCAAGTGGAGGATAAATACTTATGGGAAACATGTTTTTAATTTAAGGGATAGAACAAAACTAGACAATGAATAAAGATAAGCAGGGCAAAAGTGGAATGTCTTTCAATATCTGTTTAACTTAAACGCAGTTCTTCTCTGACAATTACTGTTAGAAGAGGATCTGGGGAATTACAGGCCAGTCAGCCTAACTGTGATACCTAGAAAGATACTGGAACCAATTATGAAACAATCAATTTATAAGTAGCTGAAAGACAATAAGGTGATAAGAAACAACCAGCAGGGAATTTTGAAGAACAAATCCTGTCAAACGAGGCTAATTTCCCTCTTTGACTAACGGGCCTGGTAGATGAGGAGGAAATGGTAGTTGTAAAATACCTTGACTTTAGTGAGCATTTAGAAAATGTCTAGATTGCAGGCTCCCGGAGCAGCAAACAAAGTCACCATGCAGAGGCTACATAGGTTGAAGTACCATAATCATAGGTAATTATCAGGGCTTCACTTTTCCAGCTGGGAGGATCATATGCCTGAAATTCTGCCTCCAGGGCTGCTCAGTATTTCTTTGTGTGTTTTGGTCAACAGACTAGAGGAGAAAACCAAAAGGATGACAGCTGGGGTAGGGGGGGGCAGCAGTCCTTCCTGAAGGCAGGGGGGCTGGGGTGATCAGAATTTGAGAGGAATGTGAGACACTGGAAAGCAGGGCTGCCCTCTGCAGAGGTGACTGTACCAAGATACAATTCGGGAAAGGTGACTGCACAGACACCAAATACGCTGATCCAAACTAGATCGTAACCATTTCAGCAGCAGTGCAGCAAAGAAAGAGCTGGGGTGGGACTGACTATGAGTCTGTTAAGTGAGATTCCCACAGAAAAAGACAAATTTCATTCTGAGATTCTTTAAGGGGAGTTTTGTGTATAAGGCAAAGAAAGCAATTATTATGTGCATTACTCGATACTGCTGAGCTCTCAGCAGGAACAGTGTGTCCGGTTCCAGGCACTACATTTTACAGGAGATGTAGACAATTTGGAGAGAGTCCAAAAAAGAACAACAAAATGATAAGACATGCAAAAAAACCATGA